GCTCAGTATAAACCCTATAAAACATAAAACAATGAGGTTTTAACCTTTAAAAAAGATCTCCATTTCATTTTAAAATATACTGTTTCATAAAGAAAAACATTTTTAATGCTACTAACAGATGTTTGCACATGCGTCTCTAATCTCTTTGTATCTGATTATTACTAGTCACAGTTGGTTACTTTCTGAGCTCCACCTGAGCATGGATATAAAATCATCGAGTAGAGTTCAATGGTAATGTGTTTCACCTCTACTAATTAATATGGAGCAAATTTTTATGCTTCTTCCTCAAATATAACTCATTTTTTATTTGTTGTTTTTTATGTATATTTCATACAGAACCTCCCAAACAATCTTATTCATCTATATACCCACATCCTAAATGGCACCCTCCCATAGTCCCCCCGCCCTACACACTAGAGCCCATATACTCTGTAATCCCTGTTACTGTCCACTGTACTGTCAGCTTGGGGGGGGGGGGCGCACTTATTCTATTTGGTGGAATGAAGTGATGTACAATTCTAGAATTGCAAAATGAAACATATTAAGATCTTGTCCTTTGATACCACAAATCTCATTTAATACTGAGAGGACCAAAATCCCAGGTTATATATTATGGAAACAGAATTAAGATTCTCACAAAGAAATAATAAACCACGGTGTCTCAAACTCTTTTTCCTTCTCAAAGGGGCCCAGAAACCAGTGGGACCTTGCCCTCTTCCTCCAATTTCTCTCACTTCCACCAAGGTACCTTGTCTGTCAGCTCATTCATTCTCCCTGGGATCCACTAAAACATTCCACTAAAAGGAATGACTGATTGGGGTAAGATACTCACTACTGAGTAGTAACATACATGCATTTGAAAAGGCCTGAGATAGTGGCTGGACAAAGTGACACAAACAGAACCACTAGGCTCCTTGACAAGTCTTTGTGTGGAATAGGTCTGAACTGTTGATTTACCCCCAGGTAGTTGTTTAGTGATCAGCAATACAATGGCAAGAAATGAGAGCCAAAAGTAAAGAGATAAGCATTATATTCATAAAACCATTCAAGTCAGACGCTGCAAAGACCTTGGGGAAGGCAGAAGGCATTTCGACAGAGCATGGAATGAGAGTGTGAGGCAATTTTATGCACATCTTTAAGTGAAAGGACTCTACCACCCCAAGTACATCACTGAACCAGAGGTGTTGGTCAAGAGAGGTGTTGGTCAAGAGAAACGTGAAGCCCTGGGACCTGGAGAACCCTCAGACAAAAAGAGAGCAACTTCCCAAAGTCAAAGTGGATGAGGCATGGTGGTATGCATGAGTGGTCCAAGCTACTCAGGAGGCTGAGCCTAGAGGATGCAGTGGGATGGCTCAGCAGGCAAAGCACTTGCCACACACACCTGATGACCTGAGTTTCATCCTCAGAACCCACTAAAGGTAGAAGAGAACCAACTCCACAGGGTTTTCCTAAGACTGCCACACACACCACTGTGGCACTTAGGACAGACACACACACGCGCACATGCATGCACACATACACACATACATGTGCACACACACAAAAACAGCAACAAAGGATCTAATTTCCAGACAAAAAGAGTGCATGAAAGATGTAGGGTGCAGAATTGTTCAGCTGTACTGTTTTATCTGCTATCAAATGATTTACTCAGCTTTCCATTTTTTGCTGTTGGTTATCTGGCCAATTGCATCTCCTTTCTCTCTTTGGCTGCCTGCCCTGTGCCAGGTCTCTCTCTATTCACCAGCTCAGGAAACAGAAGTGGATCTGAGAGGAGACAGATCAAATTCAAATGGATTCTTTTCAATCTTGTTTTTAAAGATTGAAATGGATGTTTTTAAAAATATATATATATATATTCCACTAAATCCAATTACTGCTGTCCATATACATATGTGGGTGGGGACATACACTGGGGTATAGGCAACCTACCAATTGCTGCCCACCCTCGAAGAAAAGTGGCTCTCCCTTCCTCTCTCAGTAGCCATCAACTGCCATTAGCTCCTCAGCTAAGGGTGGGACATCAGAAGCCTCTCCCCCATCCATGCTGGAAGCTTTGGTGTTCTTGATCTTGTTAGAGGCCTTGTAGAAGTAAAATTTCTGCTGTAAGTTTATAACAGTCATGCCATGTCTGGGAGCTAGCTGTTCACAGCACTCCTCCCCATCCTCTGGCTCTTACATTCTTTCCTCCCCTCTTCAGCGATGTTCCCTGATCCTTTGCAAAGTGGGGTGTTGATACAGATGCTCCATCTATGACTTGGAATTCAGAGTCAAAGTTGGAGGGAGATGAGAGCTATTTGGGGTGAGGGAGCAGAGGAGACCAGAGGGAGAGATGGATATGACCATGATACATTGCACACATGTGTGAAAATTTCAAAAACTTAAAAAGTATACTTAAAGATGATGAAGGCAGTGGGGGCTGAAGAGATGGCTCAGTAGTTAAGAGCACTCGTTGCTCTTCCAGAGGACCTGAGATCGAATACCAGTACCCAAATGGTGGCTAACAACCTAACTCCAGTTCCAGAGGATCCAACGCCCTCCCCAGGCATTGCACACCATGGGAATACTTACATAATGCAGGCCACACACTCATACACATAAAAAATAAAAATTTTTTAAATGACTAAAAAATTTTTAAATTAGAGGTTCAAAAATGGATACCATGTGCTTTGCCACAGCTCTCAGTGCTGGGTGGAGTACTGGCAATGTCATTTTCTAATTGGTTATCCCCGTTTTCCTACCCTCTTTAAATCTTTTCTTCCCCCAATATAATCACATATATTCTCTCACTACCATCATACCTGATCAGCTATCATTCTCAGGAGTTATTTTGATGGTTTGGATAGCAATAACTCTCTTTTCAGGGATTAGGAGTTTGATTTCAAAGCCAAGGTGACCCCTGGCCTTGGTTTTCACTGTGTTTCTCAGTTTCATTAGCTCACTTTCAAAGGGCAGAGTCAAAAAGTTTGTGGGGTAGTTAAGCTGTTTCTGAATATTTGCTTCCAGGGCCTTTTTCTTTGGTCTCTCCCTGGTCATAAAGGCTGTGCTCTCAACTGTGATAGGAAGAGGTAGAGGCCGCACCTGAGGTGTGGCTGCAGGTAAGGCAGCAGATGTGCTGACAGTAGCTTATGAACAGGGAAGGACTAGGATGAAGCCATATTATCCACCAAAGCTATTTGTATCCCCAAAAGACAGAGCTTGCCACTTGTGGTTGACTCAGAAACAAGAGTTGAGAGAAGCAGCCTGAGGTCTTGGATCTGTGAACAGATGTTCACTCTGCACTGCTGGGTATGAAGCCGGGTTCTTCCATTAGTAGTTGTGTTGATCTTGGGTCAGTCACTTGAACTTCTCTGTGCTTTAGGAACCCTGTCTTAAAGTGGGGGATAATGACAAGACCCAAAGCAGCAAGTTATTATTATTCGTTTTGTTTTATTTTTGGAGACAGCTGGCCTGGAACTCGCTAGGCAGACCAGGCTTGATTTCACAGAGGTCTGCCTGCCTCAGCTTCCTGAATGCTGGGACTAAAGGTGTGTGTCACCATGTCCAGTTTAGTTATTATGATTTTCAATGAGCTGCTATTTGTAAAGTACTTAGAACAGTACCTAGAACACACACATATACACACATACACACACACACACACGCAAGCAAGCAAGCGCTCACACACACACACACAAGCAAGCAAGCGCACACACACACACACACACACACACACACACTACATGTCAAATAATATGTGTTTAGGAAGAGAATCTTGCTGGACAGTGTTGTCCAAAATCAATCAGTATTTCCTGCCTCCCTGCCTCCCTGCCTCCTACCCTCCCTGCCTCCCTCCAGATCTTTGTGTGTGTGCACGTTTCCTTCATACTTCCCCAAGAACTGAGGTAACAGGCCGGTCCTGGGAGGTGACAATGGCTATTCTTGTCTACACCGATGAAGGATGGGTAGGCACCCCTGTAGACCACACTATGGGGCTCAGCAAGCCCCAAGGTATTAAAAAGAAAACAAAAGTCACAAAAGGTCTGTCTTAGCTTACTGCTGCCTGAAGAAGTATCTCTCCACTGTTCCAGACTCCTCTTCACCCTCCACAGGACAGGGCAGAGTGGCCCAGGGCCTGTGTCGTGTGGCAACGTGGAGGAGATGGTTTTATGGCTGAGCCGACTGATGGGGCCAGGTGGTCAGGGGTGGCCTGTGCCCACTGCAACCACACTGCAGGCTCAGCTGCCTGCCTACCTGGCATCATGACTGAAATGGCTCCCCTCTCAGTGATGAAGGTAGAGAAAATGAACAACAGGAAGGGGAGGGCTAGTAGAAAAAAAAAAAGGCACTGAGTCACAGGATGCATGGCAGAGAAACAGTTAAGAAAAAGATGAAACAATTCAAATTAAAAAATGCCCAAGGCTACTACAGTGCCACTCACCAGAAGAAGAATGTGGTGGAGAACAAAGACATCATGGAAAAAAACAGCCATCTTAATTAATATTGTGGTTATCTTATACAAATCTTACGAAGTCAGAAGGCATATGAGTGCACCTCTAGGGCCCTTTATGGGGTCTTAAGGGGAATTTGGAAAGGGGGAACTTGTTAAAGGGGGAACCTTGAAGCATCAATTTCATTAGCTTCATGGTAAATTAGCCAACATGATTAACTGGAGCTCTACAGTTGCAGAAAGCTGAGACCATTGTGATTTATGGTGTGGGCCAGGGAGGAAGAGAGGGGATGGGGAGGAGGAAGACAGGAAACGTGGAAATCAACTCTCTGTAACAAGAGGCTTTTAGAAGACCATCAGCTGTTTCCTAACAGCCTGAGAATGCACACAGGGGAGCACCATGCCAGACTGGAGACATCTGGTCTCAGTCTTAATCCCTAGGAAAGTTGTTTGCTATATAGTCTTAGGCAACTGGAGTCAAATTTGAGTGAAACCCACCAGGGCTTGCAATGGTCCAACTCACCAGGGGACAGTAGAAGGATGCCAGGACTTTACATGGGGAAAAGATTCTTACCAGAGAGCATGATGGCTGTCACAAAGAGAGTGATTCCCAGTCCCATGGTGCTAGAGTTAAAAAAAAAAAAAAAAAGACAAGATAAACCTCAGTTAGAAAGTGAAATCGAAAACCAATGCTCACCAAAACATGACCTAGAAGTGGTGTTTGGATTCACTTGGGCTCCCGGGTGTGACAGAACTAAAGTTGCTTTTTCTGAGCTTCACAGACGGGCCATATTACCCAATGTCCCCTGAAACAATGAGCCCATGTGACTAGGTTTGACTAATGAAATTGTGACAGAAAAGATGGCTGTTACTTCCAGATAAGGTCACAAAAACCTCCTCCCTCCTCTCTCCATTTTAGATGCAGATGATTCCACAGAAAAGCCCAAGGGCAGAGAAGACCACAGAGCCTCACAGAATGAATTTTCCAGAATGAATTAGTAAACCAGTACTCTCCACCCTCCCCACAAATGATCTGGACTGTGGCATTAGCAGAATGTACTTGACATTAGGTTATGAGGTTGTGGAGCCTTCCGCTGCAGTGCATAGCCCTAACTACTTTCTTTTGAACAGTGCAGGGTTGGGGGGTGGGGTGAGGAAACATAGAAACCATTTAATGCAGCATTCAACTTTCCCTTGGTTTTTCCTGTGGTTCTCAAACTTTAATGTGCACAAAAGTCACCTGGACAGACGGTAAAATACTTTCTGGGACTTCATCCACTAAGAATTTTGTAGTAGATGAAGCCCATAGATATATTTAACAAATTCCCAGGTGATGATACAGCTCCAGGACCACACTGAGAACAACTTCATCTCTAAGAGGCTTCCAGGGAAACAGAGAATAGGAGCCAACATTAGGCACAGGTAGAAAAGCCACCTAACTGCGGCAGTATGAAATAGATCCTGGGACAGGCCAATACTAAACCTTACAGTAGAAATCTGCACACTTTGCATTGGGTAAGGAACAAGTTTAGCGGGTACCTTTCTTAAAAATTTTGTTTATTATTATTATTTTTTATGTGTATGAGTATATTGTCTGTCTATATGTAAGTGCAATGCCAGCGGAGGTCAGAAGAGGGTTTCGGATTCCTCAGGAACTAGAGTTATGGACAGTTGTTAGCCACCATGTGGGTGCTGGGAATCAAACCTGGGTCCTCTGCAAGAACAACCATTGCTCTTAACCACTAAGCCATCTCTCCAGCCCCCTAGTTTGTGGCTTTTTAATAGCCAAAGTGAAAAGGAAAAATCTAACTGATAAATTAGTTCACGACTCTGTACATAAAAACAAATCAGCGTTCAGAAAAAGACATGCAACTGTCCTTTATTCAATAGTAGAAACATCTTCCTTAGAGGGTGGATTGTCCAAAGCCATTCCTGATCCTTCAGGCTGTTCCCATAGCTTTTAGCTATGGGCTAGGCTAAGGCCAAGGGCTAAAGGTGTATTATGTTGCTTTTTTATCTTTCTAGACTGCAAAATTTTTAATTTTAACCTCAAACTCTTAATGGATGAAGTCCCAGAAAGTTGTTTTTTTTTTTACCTGCTCTCCAAGTGACTTTTTGAACACATTAAAATCATTTATAGATTATACCTGTACATAGTACAAAATTTAAAAAGCAAAGGTGATTGTCAGGCATGGTGGTACACACCTTTAATCCCAGCACTTAGGAGGCAAAGACGAGTGGATTTCTGTGAGTTTGAGGCCAACTTGGTCCACTCAGTGAGCTCCAAGTCAGCCACGGTTACATAGTGAGACCTTGTTTCAAAAAAATTAAAAGTAAAGCTATTTGTTTATACTTGACAAAAACAACTTAAAGAAGGAAGGGTTTATTGTGGCTCACAGTTTGAGGGTACAGTCCATCATGATGGGGAAGGCATGGTGGCAGGAGCTTGAGGACCTGTTCCTGTTGTACCCTCAATCAGGAAGCAGAGATAAAAGAATGCTGGTGCTCAGCTTGCTTTCTCCTTTGTATGTAGCCTGAGACCTCGGCCTATGGAATGGTGCAGCTCACATTTATGGTGGGTCTTCCTACCCCAATTAATCCAACCTAGAAACTTCCATACAGACAAGCCCAGAGGTTATCTCCTTGGTGATTCTAGATCCTGTCAAGTTGACAGCCATTATTAACCATCACAGTGATAAGTAGTAGAAAGCAAGCCTCTTTCCCTACGTTGTTCCCTGGCTGTCTAGCTTTCTCCCAAAGATGTACCTGGAACGACCATGGTTGCCTGTTAGCAGTTTCTTACCTCCACTTGGAGTTATTTTAGACAAAATAAAACAAAATAAGAGCATAAAGCCATGTGCTATTCTCATTTTATTAAAAACCCAAATGTATAGTTCTGCACACGTAGTACCACTTTGGGGATTGTTCTCTATCAGTTTGTAAGGAGCATCTTCCTGTCAATTGTTATTATTCTACTATACTCTAGTATGGCAGTAACTTAGTGGATAGATATTTAAATAGTTTCCTATCTTTTGTTGCAGTGAAAACCTGGATTATATGGATCTCACACCTATAGGAGCTGGCTATATTCATGAAGCAGAATTACTTGACCAAAGGGTTAAAGGGTAATACAATTTTAATTTTCACAGATACAGAAAAATTGTTCTCTCCTATTATATGTTAACATTTCCATCAACATGAGGCTACTTATTTTCTAATTTGTGATCTGTACCATTAAAAGAAGGTTAAAATGGGGGCTAGAGAGATGGCTCACTGGTTAAGGGCACTGTCTGCCCTTGTAGAGGACCTGGGTTTAGTTCCTAGCACCCACATGGCAGCCAACAACTATCAGCAATTCCAGTTCTAGGGGATCTGAGGCCTTCCTCTGGCCTCTGCAGGTATTGCATGACACAGATGCACTTACATACCTGTAGGCAAAACACTCATGCACATATAAATAAATAAATAAATAAATAAATAAATAAATTTAAAATGGCATCTCATTACAACTTATTTGGTAACACTTGGGATTAAACCTGGGCCTTATGCAAACCAAACAAATGCTCTACCGAATATGCCAACCCTCTCATTGTAATTTATTTAAATTAATTTTTTTGTTGTTTGTTTGTTTTTGGTTTTCTTGACCTGGGGTCTCCCTGTAGTCCCAGTTGGCCTAGAATTCTCTTTGTAGACCAGGCTGGCCTCAAACTCACAGAGATTTGCCTGCCTATGCTTCCCAAGTGCTGGGATTAAAAACATGCAGACACAAGTTCCATGCAAATTCAGGCAGACAAAAACCCAGCATAGAACTGGGAAAATGAACATTAGGCCCCAGTCTTATCTGAAGAAATATTGGCAACTGATTGCTGGTAGGTGAAGAAGAGCTGATCTTCCTAAAACAAGGGACTCTAGATAGGCTGACTAGACTCAGTGGATGGACTTGCACTGGGGAATGAATGACTGGGGACACCGACAACACAATGGGCCTTAACAAGGATGACAGAGTATATGGGCTCCAGTGGGGGGGGTATGGAAAGGTGTCAGTGGGGACGGGGCAGATACACACACACACACACACACACACACACACACACACACATGCACTAACACACCTGGCCTTAAAAATTACTTTTAATTGTGGTAAAATGCACATAAAATTTAACCGATTAATTATTTTCAATTTATTAAGTAGCACTTAATAGATTCACATTGTGCAACAACAATGTCACTATCTTCCTAAGTCTTTTCATTTTGCAAAACAGAAACCACGGACTCAGTCAACTGACTCCCCACTCTTCCCTTCTCTTGCCCTATGGAAACCCCCTTCTATCTCCACAAATCTGGCTTCTTTAGAAATGAGTGGAATCATTCAGTGTTTGGATTTCTGCAGCATGCTTGCTTTGCTCAGCAGCAGTTACATTCAGGGTCCATGCGTCAGGACCCTTCCATTTTGCAGCACGTGTCAGAATCCTCATACTTTTTTTTTCATTTTAAAATATTTTTATTTTTAATAAGCACAATAATTTTCATGTTTATGTGGTAGAATGTGCTGTTTTAATACATGTATGCAATGTGTAATGATTACATCATTTCAGACATTTATAATTTCTTTGTGTTGGGAATATTCAGAATTATTTCTGCTAGTTATTTCAAAGCGTTCAGTTTATTGTTGTCAACTGTAGTTATCCCATGATGTTGTAGAACAGGGCAGTTCCTCATCCCACCCAGCTGCACCCTATTAACTACTCTCATTCTTCCCTTCTGCCCTTCCTAGGATCTTATCAGTTCTCTAAGAGAAATGTTTTTGTCTTCTACATGTAAACAAGAACATGCAGTATTTGCCTTTGTGTGTCTGACTTGTTTAATTTCAAGTAATAATTTATCATCCATTCCATCCATGTTGCTGAGAATGACGGAATTTCACTTTTTATTGCCGAATAATATTTCATAGTATTTATACCATCTATCTGTCTGTCTGTCTGTCTGTCTGTCTAGCTACCTACCTATCATCTATCATCCATCTATCTATCTATCTATCTATCATCTATCATCAATCTTATCTATCATCTATCTATCTATCTATCTTCTATCTATTTAATCTATTTATCATCTACCAACATTCTATCATCATCTACCTATCTAATCTATCTACCATATATATATTTTTTAAAAAACATAAAGCAACTTTATTAAATATAAATTCGTAAGCATGCAAAAAATTTCAACATTATAAATAAAGCTTTGTCTAATGGTGATACAAAAATCATGTAATTCTTTTCAGCCACAAACATGACACAGCTCTGCATTTATGAAGAAAAGTAGGCCAGAATATACCAGATAGAGTACTGCTTGTGTGATTAATCTTCATTGTTCATCTAACTGAATTTTGAATCTCCCAGGAGATACACTTTTGGGTGTGTCTAAGAGGACATTTCCAGGGAGGTTTAATTAGGAGGGGAGCATGCTAAAGCAGGGCAGTACATCAAGTGAGCTGGGGGCAAACTGAATAAAAGCTCAAGAACACCAACGTTCACTTGTCTCTGCTTTCTGCCCAGCTATACACTGTGACCAGGCACCCTGACCTCTGTAGCTCTGCCCTTCCTGCCCTGATGGATAGCAGATCT